CGAGTCTGGAGAGGAGAAAGGGACAAACCTTTGAGTCTGGACACGCAGTGAGGCGAATGCCTTGACCGGTCAAATGAAGGTGAGCGAACTCCCAGCTGTTCGGCTTGAGGGAAGACCTGTCCTCAAGCAAGGTTATACAAAGCTTATTCCCTCGCTGCATAGGTAGATGACATTCAAGAGCCAAAGTTATTGCCAAGTAGGGCTTTTTGGGGGGCAATGCATGTCCCTGTCATCAGTTTCTCGAAAACATATAGACTCTAAGTCGACATACGTCCAGGCCCCCGAGCAGCTTCCATGGCGTGCTTCGCCTCACACTCGATAGTTTAAAAACAGCAACATGCAACAGAGTCCAGGCGAGGCCACCTCTAACTCGCTTCGTGCAAAAGCAAGCAGCTCCTGGCAAACATCAAGAAGCCACTCCAAAAGGGTTGCTGTATACTTTTTCCTCATACATGTTAATGCAACCAGCTTGGCAACCCACGTCACCAAACCTGTCGAACCTGTTCTTAAGCACATCTTGGTCCTCCACCGTTGCTGAAAAGGCCCAAACGCCACTCGTTCGATCACGCGTCCCGTCGAAGGGCACCTGGTTCTTCTGCAAGCGCTGAAAGGCACTCCTCGAAGGGCCTCGGACGCCGTTGGAGACGGTAACAGCGATGGATTCCAAGCGACGGCGATGGATTCCGCGTTCCAAACGGCCCGGCCTTTTGGCATCTTATGGTCTCGGACTTGTGTGTGCATGTGTGTGTTTTGTATAAGTCGGGAAACTCTGGTCAAAGGCGCAAGTTTGTGTCAACTTCACAACGTGTGAGTGCTTGATGGGCGTGGGTTTGCCCATCTCCTTGCCCCTCTCCAAGCTTTGTAAAGCGAAGAGCGAACTCTAAGGCAAAGACATGAGACGACCAGCCCAGCCGGAGATCGGAAGTTGCCTGCTCGTTCGCGAACGCGTTGGTCAAGCCGAGTGGGTCCTCTGTTTCCCAGACACTCCATGTATGGTATATACCCCTCAAACCAACCCAATGCAAGTAAATATTTTATCCATACATGGAGTGTTTTTTTGGGGGGGCACAGCGGCTCACGTGCTGGGACCCGCTGGGTTGGGTCAGAAGTTCTGAAAGAGGCTCGGTTGGGTGCCTTCAGCAGCGCTTGCCACTGGGAGGATGACGTGGGAGGCATGGCCCATGGCTGTCTGAACGTTGGGGACCACTCCACCCCGTGATCCACGAAAGGACATCTGCATGGGAGCTGAAATAGTTATGCCCTGGCTGCTCTTCAAAGCTTGCTGATAAGCATTGAAATTCAGAAGTGGTTGGTCATTTATGGCAAGTTTGGCTTCGGCAAGTCAGTGGGAGCTCTCCCGCGGACGACTCACTCAGTCAGACACCCGTTCGGATTGTCACAGATTTTGTGCCTCAAAAAAGGTTCGGAGCGGCTCGCCCCTATGACTCGTGGATCTTGAACATATTCCCGACCTGTTCAGTGCATACCGAGCCCCAAACACAAGTGGTCCTCGAACAAGCAGGGCACCACCATGTCATGTCTGCCCCACTATGTCCCACGTACATGTTTGTTAGATAAACCCTAGGCTTCCAAGACCATCAAAAAGGAAGGTTGAGCTGGTTGCGTCGCGCAAAATAACTCATATAAAAACAATATTGTTAATACTAGAGGTGGTTCAGTAAAGGCAATTAAATCAATGGTCCATGTAGTTGAAAGCCTAGGGTTGCCCTTTTTGGGGGGCCATGCAGCGCTCCCATCTCTCCCATGAGCGCTCCAGCGACCGCGCCAGCGTTCGCCCAACGGCCTATTCCAAAGGCGCCCTCCCCACGGTCAAGGCCTCCCAGTGCCGTGCGAGGAGGGGGTGGTTTATATGGACCCCCGTCAGGGAACCATACGGCAACACTTACTGCAAGGAAAGCTGTTTTCAGTACCCACTGGCAGTACTACTGTCTGCTTTGCCTCAAAGCCAGCAAGGGCGGCGTGGCATCGAACGTAGCTCAAATCAATAACGTGGGCCATCGATGAGCTGCATCGCTCAAAACATTTGGTCTTTTGGCTTTCTTATGGAAGCCAACCTGCATCCAGCACCGAGGCCTGTGGAGCGGGCAATATGCCACTCGGAGCAACAACAGGCTACTGTATCTTAACTTATAGTCCATCAAACATCATTCCGTGAACAGCAAGTATAGTACTCTCATTATGACTCTATTCCTACTCTTGGAATTTTGTCACAACACGTCACCCGGCTATGAGAAAACCAGTACGAACCTCCCGCGAATCAGTTCAAACCTCCCCCACATGTGCTGGCTCATCCAAGACACAAACGCGCCAAGAAAGCTGGAAGGGATGCACTGGCCGATGGATTTCGAACTTCCTCGGGACGAGTGTTCGCGACGTTCGGCTTCGGTGGGGCGACTGAGAGGGTCGGTCGAGAGAAAGATCCCAAACACGACTCTAATGGGACTGCCCGGACGCTCCAAACTGCTCGACTGCTCCCTCAAAACCCTAGGGATTTGAGGGTCCGGCCCTTACTTAGGAGGGTCCATGAGCGTTTAACTGCCATAGGACTGCCGCCCCATTGGCCCCCTGGCACCACCCCTGGCCGTTTCTCGGCAGTCCTATGGCAGTCCCAAACAGGTCGTGTCTGGGGATGGTCGTCTCTCCATCGATGAAGCATGAAGCATCTACCAGCCTCCAACAGGTCTCCTGTTCAAAGGGTTGTTAGGCCCTATGGCCCAATGTGTCTTCTTCTTTGGGTGAGCTTTTCTAGAGCTCAGGTGCCTGGAGTGCCTGGAGTGCCTCAACACACACGACACCTGAGCGTCAATGACGTGCTTAATTTCGTTAAGAACTGCTGAGGGAGCAAACAAGAGAGAGAGAGAGAGACAGACAGACCAGGAGTCACAAAGGGGTGCTTAATGGAGGTTAGGGTGCCTATATTTATTATCCACTCACTTAGGGACTAAACACCACCCCTTTGTGACTCCTGGGCGGAGAGAGAGGGAGGGAGTGAGTGTGAGAGTGAGTGTGGGTGAGTGAGTGTGGGTGTGAGTGTGAGTGTGAGTGAGAGTGAGTGAGCGAGTGGGAGAGTGTGCGTGTGTGAGAGAGAGAGAGAGACAGAGAGAGTTGTCAATCTGAAAGCCCTGTAACAGGGCTGTTGGGTATACCTACTCCCTGCAACAGTGGATGATGACGGTTCAGTTGCAGGCCGACATCTCTAAAATAGTGATGTTCTTGTGGATCCTGACGGCTCTACAGGTCATGCGACATCTGTATCAGGTATCAGAACCACCATGAACCACCGGACCGGTGGAGTGGAGTGGCACTCCACCTCTGGGTGCTGCAACTGTTCCACTTCAGCAGTGTAGCTCTGCGCCTGCGCTGGTCATGCACTTGACAGGCACTCAGTTAAGCGTGGAAACCGCCAAATTGACTACGCCCGAAAGCACTCCGTCTTACTCCACAAACTTGTGGAGACGTCCAGGAGCCTCCCTCCACTGGGCAACAATTAACAATGCTCATAAACGCGTCTAAACTGCCGGAAGTTGTGGTGTGATTTCAAGATTGCAAACAACTTCAAAATCTTGGGATCCCCAATTTTGGGGATCTCGTCTTGTGAACCGCAGCTCTTTGGAGCTGAGCTCAGGTTGACTCGGGTGGCGAACAACGCGCGCGCGCGCGCGCGTGCAGAACCACACCTGGCGGGACCTCGGTGACCGGTGCAGTGGTTGGAGTGAACGGTTGGGACACCCCGTCGGCCCGGTCCGAGCGGTCGCTGCCGCTTCGAACGCCGAACGTAGCGTCCGATCGTTCCGTTCGTAGCTTTAAAGGTGAAAACGTCGAGATACTCGGAGTGGTCGAGGCACGGAATCTGCCGGTGACGGTGAGTTCTTCGATCCGGACTCCGTCGCAAGTGAATCCGTCGAGTGCAAGTGAGTCCAGAGTTCCATGTCTCACGTTCGAAAGCATGATCGAATTGCGTGGAATTATCCCTACCCTAAGAATCCTTGGACCCTCCTTAGAAGGGGTCGAACCCTCTATAACAAGGGTTCGTACCCGAACCAAACCCTTGTTTTTGAGGGTGCAAATCCTTAGGGTATATTAATAAGAAGGTGGTTCGGGTGGGTGTGGGGGGGGTCGAATCACCTTCTGAGGATGTGGGCCAGGAGCCCTAGGGTATAATGGTATAATAGACTGCCCATGACACTCCAAACACTCCATGGGATGCCAGTCCTGATGCTCTAGAAAAGTCTAGGCCAGGGGTGGTTGATTTGAAGGGTCGATTCTGTGTCAGCATTTGCATGGCAGTCCCAGTGTTTGAGTACTGTACCAGGGGCCCCACAAACCATCAGAAACCAGGTGTTTCCCTAGCAAAAAAACATGGTTTTTGTATGTGAAAACCTGTGTTCTTTCATGGTCAACTGAGGGCCCCTGGTAAACTACCCCTTGTTCCAAGAAAGCTCTGATCCAAGGGACTGAGGAAAGCTCTGCCGGACCTTCACTGGCCATTGGAAGGTGTTCTTTCCATTGCCAAACCTCAGGACATGGAGCCAGAGCGATGTCGCTCCACTGACTGGGTATGTTCATTTACCTGAACAGGTGGCAAACTCCACTTCCATGAGGTCGATAGAAATAGGTTAACAAGTGGATCCACTTCCACCTCCAGTCCTACCGTATATGTCAAACACTGCAGCAGGCCCTTCGGGCATATCAAATTGCAGCTCCCATATTCCTCTTCCATGCACGTGGAGCTAAAGGCAAATGCCAACGAATTGCAACTCTATGGGAGGCCTTTTGTTGGGACCATCGGAGGCAGCGTCACTTTTTTCTGCATCAGACTGGGTCCAAATGGAGGACCCAAGGCTGCCAGGTCGCCGGAGCGGCACGGGTCTCGAGAAGAAACGCCACAATTCCCAGACACGACCTGTTTGGGACTGCCATAGGACTCCCGAGAACCGGCAAAGGGGTGGTGCCAGGGGGGGTCACTACTGGGGTCACTGTGGGCATATATGGCAGTCCCATTAGTCGTGCTTGGGATTGGTTGATCCTTCTCCCACTTGCTCAGGCCGACCTTGAGTCAGGACAGCGGGGGGCGCATGGACAGTCCCATTCCAGGACAGTACTACAGAGGCGTGCAAGCGGCGGCACGCTGCCCACGTTTGGAACCCCAAGGCGGTCACAATGCATGTCTAATTCGGACGCCGATGTCCCAGATGTCAAATGGACTCCACGTGTCGCAGCGCCCCCGAGTAATCTTGGAGCACTCTTGGAGTGCATTCTCCAACTCAGAGTTGCTATAGTGGATTGAGAGGACCAATGGCACAGACCCCAATGTCGGTTTATATGGACCCCCATCTGTCTAGGACATCGAACCAGCTCTGTGCCATCGAACCTCTGAAACCACTGTATAAGTGGTTAGGGAACCGAGCACCAGTAGGGCTCGCTCCCCGTTCACTCGCGCGGTTTCCCGCCGTAGCGTCGGCCGGGCCCGGGTGGATCAGGCGCCAACATCCACCACTACACGCCCACGGACGTGCCCCGCCAGGATCTTCCTGGGAAGACGTGATCCAAGGGGGTGTCCTGAGTCCTGGCAGACCATGGACTAGTACATGAGCCCATGGTGGTGGGATTGATGGGTTTTTCGTACTCGACTGCAAACACATGCTTCAGCATCCTCGAGCGAATCTTGTGCTAGAAACTTGAAACAAGTCTCTGTTTGGGCCATTGCTCCAATCTTGCGGGGTCTATGAAAGGTAGAAGACTCTCACGAGCAGGAAACAAAATGGGCCAGGAGTTGTGGTTCGACTAAGAGAGGAATGGTGAATGGCCATTGCACCGTGGGCCGAGGTGGCCTGCAAGCTTGATGTGTTTTGGCCGAAGAAAGTGAAAGAACATTGACATTTGGTCTTTCTCCTCACAAAGCTCTTCTCAGTCATGTGCGTTTAACTGAACTTTACTTTAAGATTGCTGGTCACCAACACACACAAATGCATCAACCAATCATTGATGCAAGGAGTTTGGTCAAATGCAAAAGGAATAATCCTATAGCAGTTTTGGATTAGTACTCCTCCCGAATCATTCCATCATTCCACGGTTCTTCTTGATCAGTGTGTTGTATTAGTAGGCACTCCCTCTTCCTAGTTTTCCCTGCTTGTATGAGTGATTTCCACCATCCTCTTTCTTTTTCTAGAATGGACACGTGACGAATTGCTAATCAATATGTATAAATATATATATAAACTGTAAATCCAATTGAGATAATGGAAAAAAAAGGATAACGGGTTTTAATATAATCCTGCAAAATGAACCAGAAGTGGACGCTCAGAGTCTTCCGTCCTCTAATTGTATGATGTTTTATAGGCCCTGCATATCCTAAAATGATGTTAATACACTGGGTAACTCAGAAGCAAGACATGAGAATGCACAGGAAGCTTCGAAGTCTTGGTCCAAGGGAGCCTTGTGAGTGGCAAGAAGTGCTGGCATATCAATTCTGAAAGAACTTGGGAACTGCAAACAAAGGAATGCAAAGGAGAGCCGGGGGCGATCTAGAGTTGATCCCTCCTACAACACCATTCTCAAACTGCTAATCTTCAATCCAACATGCGCTTGTTTCTTGCAAGAGCCATTCAAGGTAGATTCTTGGGGCGTTAGCAAGAAAAAGCATACTATAAACTACACACAAGACATTGCAATACCATACATGTATACCAGTCCCCTTCATTCCAGGCATCTCACACCACTGGGGCAGCTCTTCCAAAGGAATGGTCGCCTCGTGCATGGTGCGAAGCGCCTCGCAGCGGCAGCGCCACTGGATGAGTCGACCCACATGGAACCTGCAAACCCAATGGGTTTTGGAGGAATTTCGGTTTTGCACAGTCCATGCGGGTCGCCCGGTTTCCATGTGGGTCGAGTCTCCAACCCGGGTGGATGACTCGAATCTACATCTTTTGGCCGATGGCCGGGCTCCGCAGTCGGCAGATGACCTGCATGCGCAGTGCTTCGAAAGCAACGCAAGAAATGTAATTCCTGTCAACGGGCCTTGTTCAGCACAGAGTTTTCTGTGAGAAGGTGGGACTGGGGGTGGTTTAGAGGGTCGAAATACCTTCTGAAAGGAAACCACGCCATTGGATTGGATGCTGGGGCGGCGGATGTTCGGGTAGAGGGTCCCAGTTGCCTTGTTCATGCTCAAACGGGTCAAGCACCACTCAACTTCACCAAAGTCCTCGCCAAGGTTCTCAGCTTCCTTGCCACCTGAATCATTTTGGAACAAGTGCTGGTAACATGATTATTTTGATGGTTGCGTGGAGCCACCCCGAAATCCAACCACCCTAACCACTCCTGTAGAAGGACACGCTGACCGAAAACCACCAGGGACACACACACACACACACACTGCGCCTGGTGGAGCTTCAGCTCATCCAGGCGCCGCCAAATCTCCAAGCGTTTCTCCCGGTCGCGCCGCCACGTCGCAACGTCGCCAGGGTAGCCGGGCACGTTCCAGGGCAGCGTGGCATCCACACCGATGAGGCGAATGCCACGGAGCACGAAGGGATACCTCACGACGTGAAGAGTGTGGCAACAGGGCGGGGGCGAAGCGTTTTGTTGGTTCTTCGCACAAGTTGTTTTCATGGTTTGCCACCCAGGAAGGGTGGAGCGTCTAGTTTTCTTTCAAATAACCCATACACTCGGACTGGCATAGTCACCGATCAGGCCAGAGGTGGTTGAAAAGGGGTCAATGTAGTCCCATTGCCAGTCCCATTAGTCGTGTCTGGGTAACATAAATAATGCCAATCGCCTGCGGTATCCTCGGTCAAACCCTCAAGACGAGGGGTGGATCAATCCTGCAACCCGATGAACGAAAGACTCCCGAAAGACCCTAACCCTAGCCCTCAAAGACCATTAAAAGAACGGTTGAGCTGGTGGTGTAGTGTAAAAGTCCTTAGTAAAACAATATAAGGGCTCTTTGGTAAAGACCATTATAGCAATGGTTGTTTGAATCCTAGGGCAAAGATCCAAAATGGGTGGTTTCGACGAAACGACCATCATGGAGCTCAGTGGTGTTCAATCAAGCCAAGTACATGGTTGAGTACAGTACAGGTTCAACATGGTTGAAGCTACTGCCCTATCCGAACAGATCGATCCAATATCCGAAACCACCGGACCTGTTGGAGGGCTGGTATATAGATGCCGGTTTAGGAGGCCCCAGGCCAACCCACCTCCATGTGAAGGGGTCCCCGGAGAGTCGCAACTCGGTCTCACATACCTCGGACACGACCTGTCTGGGACTGGCAGTTCGGACTGCCGAGAAACGGCCAGAGGTGGTTGATTTTAGGGGTCAATGTATGGAGCATAGGACTGCCAGTCCCAGGCAGGTCGTGTCTGGGTACTCATTGCTTTTTGCGTCCAGACTAGTAGTGCATCATATACGTGTGCTCATGCTTCTCTCTTGAGGTTATAACCTCAAGAGAGAAGCTATAACCTCAAGAGAGAAGCATGAGCACACGTATAACCCTGGGGTGGTGTACATGTTCAGCACAGTTCAATCGATCGAAGTGTTTCTTGCACGGCATCCCAGTTCGGACGCTCTAGCTGAAACTCCTTCGTTCCAATCGATGCCACCTTCGGCTCACACGGACCGTTTGCTTCGAGCCTGGCCAGTCGAGTTGCAAGCTCGCCTCCACATGTTGAGCTCCGGCCACGCCGATGCATGCGCAGGCGCCCTGGTACTGCAGCTGTGCTAAGGCAGTGCCCAAAGACGGAGAACCCGCACAATCCAGCACCGCGGACCAGCGCTGGTCTTGGAGAGGCTTTGGGTTACCTCAAGCGTCGCTTTGAGAGGAAGATGCTGCTTGGAAGATGCTGCTTGAGGATGCTTCCGACATTGGTGACGGAACCTCCAACCAACAAAAAGAATCTAAAGAAGACATCGTCATTGCATGTCCAATATCTTCACATATGATACTTGCGCGGACCCTGCTTAGCTAAGTTTGGCTAAGCCTAGCTTTGACTTTATAAGAATTAGTAAGTCTTGGCTAGGACTTAGCTAAGTCTGAACTAAGTCGGACTTAGGCATGCGATTTAGCTTCGGCTTAGCTTTGACTTAGCTGTAACTTAGCTCGGACTTAGCTGACTTAGCCAAGTCGGCTAAGTCTACGTTGGCTAAGTCGGCTATGTCTATAGGTGATAGGTTGGCTAAGTACGATCGAATAACAACCAAGCAGCAATTAATATGAAAAGCAAGCAACTAGAAATGACAGCGGCCAGGCCGCGCAGCGACAGGTAAATTTTCTCGTCACTGGAAAAGACAGTTTACAGTCAAACAGTATTTTTCTGACAGCCTTTTCCTTTAAAGTGGTCTACGGTCAGAAAGTGTCAGAAATTTGTCTGACAGCCTTTTCCTTTTAAAGTAGTCTACGGTCAGAAAGTGTCAGATCTTTTTCTGACAACATGTTCCTTTTAAAGTAGTCTACGGCCAAACTTAGCCGACTTAGCCGACTTAGCGGACTTAGCCGACTTAGCCGGCTTAGCTCACTTAGCTTAGCTTCGACTTAGCTTTGACTTAACCGACTTAGCCAACTTGGCCCTAAGTCGAAGCTAACTCTTCTAAGTTGGCTGGGCCCCGGCCTAAGCGCTTACTAACCTTTATATCTCTACTAAGTCAAAGCTAAGTCAGCTAAGTGACTTAACCTACATAAGATATGGGACTTATAACCTAGGTTATAACTATATAGGTTAGGGAGGTTATAACCTATACTAGAGGTTATAAGTCAAAGTTAGAGCAGGTCCGCGCAAGATCGCGCAAGTAGGTTCTGTTAATCCTCCTGTGACAAACTGGAACAGTTTAAGCACCCCTTCTTCAGAGGCTGCACTCGTTCTCGCCATCAAGAGACGTTCCAAAGCTCCGATCACATCCTTGGTCGCGATGGGACTGACGTCAGTCAACGTCGACTACACCGTCTCCACAGACACGACACGTCTCGGACTGCCAGTCCGGACTGCCGCCCCAGAGGCCGACCCCCCTGGCACCACCCCTGGCCGTTTCTTGGCATATATGGCAGTCCCATGGAGTGTCAGGGTGAGGTTGGTGGTGTTCGTGGTGGTGTTTCGTGGAAGCGACTTGTTGCTTCATCGATCGAACACTTTGCATGGCTATACGGGCGCCCTACGCATGGTGTGCTTTGGCTCCAAAAAGGGCAAGCTGACGAAATAGAGCCCCATGTCAAACGCACAAGACTCGACTCACTTGCCAAGTGTCAAAGGCGCCAAGCTCTTGGAAGTAGCTGCCTGAAAAAGGATGAAAGCAGCTCGATCCGGCCGAGAAACAAAAATGCCCGACAAGACTGCTCGCTCCGACCCCGACGGTTCGGTGGATCCCCACGAACGACACCCTGCCACTATCGTTGGGGGCCACGAAAAAGCTGCAAGTGGCGAAAACATCTCTTATATCAGTGTTTTTTTGGAGATTGAACATATTGTTTTTCTCGTTTGGAGATGGAAACAAGTGGTACACCCATCTCCCAAATCATGCTCCTAAGAGTAGGACACCCGGGGCCCCAAACCCTTCAGGCTTCGACCCCGACCGCCATGGTTCGGCTCCGGACGATGGCACGACTCTGCTCGTCTCCGGCGGAGTGGCTCAACGACTCTGCTCGTCGCGAGGATGCCACGACCTGCACCACTGCACCCGGCGATAAGAGGGAGACCCAATTGAAACCGGGTAATGAGCCCTTCACAAGCCAAAGGAGACTTGTTGGAGGGTGCTGGAATATGATATCACCAGTATATACCAGGACCCTCTAAGGGGTGCCCAATGGAAGCCTATAGGTAGTGTGGGGTAGTCCATTGGACACCCCTTGGAGGGTCCTGGTATTATATCACTGATATCACTATAGTGAAGCTGTCAAAGACTCTCAACAAAGAATTTCCCCGTATCCCACGGCCGTATCCCAATATCCTATGGTCTGACAGCGTGCAAACGCTGCAAACATGTGCACAGGTGTGCAAAGCAAGTCTACCAGTCTACCTTTTGCTGCTCTGTTGGTGTCTAAGAAGTGGGCCTGTTCCAAATCCCACTCGGTGCTTCATGAAGCCCCTGAATCTTGGCTCAGGCCTTGTAGCCCAGCTGTGCCAGGATGGCCACCGCCATGGACCCAGCTCCGCCCGCGGCTCCCAGGACCAGCACGGGTGCCGGACCAGGCTGGAGCCCAGCGTCCTGCAACTCGAGGACCTCAGCTCCAACCCGAGGACCAGGGCGGCGCTCAGGGGAAGCGTTTCTTCGGGGGTTGGAACCTCTTGGTTCCCAAGCACGACCTGTTTGGCACTGCCTGCCAGGACTGCCGACCCAGAGACCTTACCCTAATGGAAGTGGAACACCATCCCGGTTTGTAGAGGAAGCATGCATAAGCATGCTAATCCCGGACACCCCATAAAACTCCCGTAGGACTGCCGACCCAGAAAGACCCCAACCACCATCCCAACTGATCGGCAGTCCGCAGTCCCAAACAGGTCGTGTGGAAAGCACCCATGGAAGAACGGGCATGAAAGGAAGATGCTCATGCACGCTGCCCCATCCTGATATTAGGAACTGAACTGTGCCTAATATTTCAGCCCTCCCGAAGATCAAAGCCGCCATCTGCATGGCCGTGAAGCCAGCGGTGCCGATGATCATCGACTCCTGACATCGCTCAGCGTCCCGGGTCGGGTCAGCGCTGACTTGATCCCCTGGCTGGTTCGGTCCCCAAAAGGCCAGGAAGTACGGTGACTTAGTAAGGGACTCCAGTTCGTTTGGTCACGAAGCTGAAGAAGCTGGATGATGGTGTTCAAGCACCGAACATCCCATGACGTCTCTTGGCTCTTGGGAAACCGCGAGAGCCGTCTCCGAACGGACAAAAACCGGGAACCGGTCCACGGGCGCCATGATCGTTTGGAGGTTTGGGTGTTGCATGGGATCCAAGGAGTTGGATCGATCACCCCTGCCATCCATGGGACGGATGAAAACAAACCCGACATGCACCATGACTTCTCTTCCTCCAAATCTCTCCTGGGAAGGAACAACTGGGATTGGTTTCACAGGTTGAGCACCCTGAAGAGCCCCATGCTGATGAGGAGCACCTCTTCCCATTCTAAGCCTGGAGGGGAGGTAGGGCCTCCAGGGCCGGACGTGTTACGTTTCAACACACCAGAGATTGAGGAGATCCAGCTCTCTCGGCAGTTGGTGTGTTCAGTTCACTTCTGGCACGAAGCTCATTCTGACTTGATCTCTCGCACGTGAATGAAGAGATCATCTCAGTGAGACCTCGTGCTACACCAAAAGCCGCACCCTTCCAACAACAGCAGCTATAGTCACAAATTAGCAAAACAACAGTGGATGCAGTGCAAATACCAAAGCACGTACCACTACCCACCCAAAATCAGGGCCCACACGCTAAACTAAAGTCTGTCAGCCGGAAGAACCTCCGCTGCGCCGCGCTGGACAGTCACACCTCCAAAGTCAAGGACTCAGGTTTCGGCGCCAGCCATTCAGCCTGCACTCCTGACATGTGCCAAGCTCGAGTTTCGAAGGTTCTTTTTTGGCACGTTTCGCTTGTATCTCAATAGTCTAGCTAGCATGTACTGAATGGTTTTACTAGCATGAACTAGCATGTTGCTGAAGTGATCTGGCTGTGGGGAGCTGGCACCAGGAGATCGACGGGTTGACCTATATAGCTGGAAGGTATTTCACTTCATGGCAGACCAGGGCTCCAGATTGAACAACCCTTCCCCATCTGAAGTGGACTGAGATGGTCCAGCTGTGTCTCTGTACCACCATGACCAGGATATTGACCACTGTATTGCTTCATGGCCAGGATTCTGAGCGCAGCAAGTCAGCAAGCGCTGTCGAAGAACTTGGGCCTCTTGACTTCTCCCTATATGTGATAGCCTATATAACCCCCCAAAACAGAAACACAAACAAATGACTCAAATGACCATTTACTGACTGGAATAGCTCCAGTAAGGAATGGCATGGAATGGCGACCCTACGGTATCTACGGTGAGTTCATTCCCTCAGTCCCTCCCACCTGTGCCACTCTCTTAAACCTCGCCCAGACTCGGCATTGCTCGCTGTAGCCACCGTCACTGTGCTGACCGATCTTGTTACCTCGTGCTTCCGGTGCGTTCCCCTCGAGCCGGCCGCGTCCGAAAATCAGCGCTTCGCCCGGTGGTTCTGAGCCCCCCCCAAGGTCGGGTTCTGCGCAGCTAATGCAATGTGACCCAGTGACTGAATGATTGGGTTTGATATATAACTGGTTTGAGAGCAAGGAACATCCCCACCTACCTCTCTGCCATCGGAGCACTTGCCAATTAGCACGAATATCTGGCATGGAATTCAGGAACCACTCTGAAGAACACTCTTGCGAAAGGTTGGAGCTCAACGGCGTGAAGAAAGACCTTGGCCATGACATTACAGCAAGCGAACGACGTGCTAACAGTGGCCGTCGCGGGACCCAACAAACTCTTGCTCAACGAAGTGATTGAACCAATCACTAAGAATCTCAAAGATGTAAACAGTTTTCTCAAAGCCATGCATCAAAAGGCCAATCCAAAAGCCCAATAACTTTTTAGTCTAAGAATCAGTCAGATCACCAACCCACTTAATTTACACCACACATCGATCCTACCCAGTGCTACGCCAACGCCCAAACCTGCCAAGTGCTGCATTTCAACCATCCCCACACCTCCAATCAAACCACTTTGCTACCCTAAACCCACCCACCTATACCCAAACCTACCATTGACCTCTCCACCCAAAATATCCAGCCATCTTCCCCCACCCCAAGAAAAGCCCATGGCCTCCGCCCCGCCTCCAGCCTCCCATCCCGTCTCGCCACGCGGCCGGTGAGCACCACAGCATCGCCCCGTTGCCACAGCTCGGACGTGCTGCTCGCCACGAGCCCGGCGCAGTCGATGCCCGGCACCAACGGAAAGCGCCGCACGACGCCTGGGCCGAACGCGGCGCCGGGTGGCGCGCGGCGCGGAACGCGTGTGTGGAGGGCGATGGTGCGACTAGAAGCTGAGGTGGTGGGGAGGAGGTGGGGTGGAGGGGGGGAAGAACTTGAGGTGTTGGACAAGATGTGAATTTTGTTAGCCTTCGTCACTGGATGAGTCTCTCTATAGGAAGGCCATTGAGGATCCAAGCAGAACAAGGATTCAGAAAAAGTAATGAAGTAAAAACACATTTTTTTTGAGAGATGTCAAAATTCTAAGGAAGGATGTTGTGGGTAGTAGTCTTGACCTGCATGTGTGTTATTTTTGGGATACCAGTGCCTCACAATCCGCCATCCGAAGCATCAGCAACAGACTCCAAACCATCCTGATACGTGGAATTCACTCATTGTATCAAACCCCATTTTAAATGCACGCAGTGGGCGGATTCATCCACATGATCAGGTAGTGGGGAACCCAATGGATGGATTAATATACCCTAGGCCTCCAAGTACCTTGTGAGAAGGTGGGACTGGGGTGGGTTTGGAGCGTCCAAATACCTTCTGAGGAGGTACTTGGAGGCGTAGGGATGTATTATTGGATTCGATAGGCTGTGTCGCTGACTAGGGTCCAGGCTCCCTCCGGTGGTCCAGTTGCACAAAAAGTAAATTGCCAATAATAGCTATAAATCAATCATTGGCACTTGGCACCCGCATCGAACCCAAAATGTGCAACCCTCTTGAACTTGACAGAATATGTTTGTTTATACCTGTTGCATATGATAGCGGTCTCCAACCAGCCTGTGCTTCGATGATCATGTCTCGATGTTTTTCGCAATTGGCTCGACCACCCGTGGCTCGAGCACCAACGGCTCCAAGCTACCGTGCTGCCCCTGAAAAATCATGGCATCCTTGTAGTTCCTGAGCAGAAAAAAGCAATACTGCAAAGCCAGCAGCCGTCCCATCTGTTGCAATGACGATCAAATCTACTGCCCCTCTGGGCGGAACAGGCCATACTACCGCCAAATCTACTGCCCCTCTGGGCGGAACAGGCCCGCTTTCACGTCGAATTCGGATTCGAAGGATCAAATCACTGTACTTCACGTCCACCGTCACGGTGGCATCAGGATCTGGCTGCGGCAGCTCTCTCACATGCTCGAAGTGTTTCACCTCAGAACGATCCCGACTCGAGACTGAACAGTGGTTCCGGAAGTCCCGACGCGTCACCGAACCATTCATGCGCCTACTCCTAGGGTTTGTTTGTGAATTAGGGGGCGTCAGGGCTACTCCTAGGGCCCTAGGGATCCGTTTTCGTACCTTCTCCTCAGGTTCGGTACGACTGGACCCGACGCTTTGGCACCTACATTAAGAGTGTCGAACACATCACCGTACCTGAGAATGTACGAATGTACTTGGATCCCTATGGTAGGTCAATTGGGTGGAACATCTGAATTCATCCGTCTACGGTCCCGGACGTGTCGACTGGGCGTGACCATCACGCCCACGAACTTGCGTTGAACTTAGGAAACCATGGACCATGATGCGCCATTCCCGTCGACGGCTTCCCCAATGCAAGTCTGGTGTCTAGCTAGCAGCTCATCCGTATGCCATGTTCATCCCCATGGAAGGCCTTGGCCGAATGCCTCGCTTCCCATCCCTCGAACCGCCTCCCACCTCCAGCGCCTCGGGCCTCACGGGACTTCAACTTCCCCTTGTCGGCATCCACCACCCACGCTCGGAAGCTACGCTGCGCACGATAGGCCACGCGCTGCGCATGCCGCTGCCGGGCGCTGCGAGCAAGGCTGAGCATTTCAACGGTGAGCGCAGCTGGATGGCGCTGTTCAGCACACGGAAAGCCCAATCTGATGGGCAAAGCGTGTGCTTTTTCGGCCTTCTAAGCAGTGGGGAGACTTTCAGGTGCTCATGGTAGGCTTTGCTGTGAGCTGATGAGCTAAAATCGAATTTGACCCTCCTGATGGCAAACCGAACACTTTTTGTGCATACCTGTTCCGGTGTGACTACCTTGTGAAAATTCAGATGCTCAATGAAGAATAGGAGTAGACATCACCTCGCACATGATCCCTGCTGCATCACTGGGGAGCACCCCCAGATTCCCACGAACTGGAATCGTTTGACGTGGAAACTCGGAGAATGTACAGCTTGTACAGCATCAGCCCGGCATGCGGGTCAATGTCAAGCCCTGGTATCCCGCGCTTTGATCAGCAGCTTGGAATTTTTTCTTGATTCTCACCATGAACATAGAGCAATTGCCGGCTATATGTTGCCAAGACTTCCAATGACCAGTTGACTGCGTTCAACCGGAAAAGGGCTCGAGGTGTTTCATGCCAGCCGGCCACATGCCAACGCTCTCGTTGGTTCGAAACCTTTGTTCCAAAAGGTGGCTGCGGAGGAGCAGTTGTTCGGGGATGACAAACCCAGAAACAGTCCATGGGACTGCGATGCCGACCCAGAAAGACCCCTCCCTCTTCAACCATGGACTGTCCGGGGCTCTCTTTCACATGTTGAGGCAGTCTTCCAACATCGAGTGGCAAGCAGGGATGTAGCAAGCCACGTGCAGGCAACGCATCCACTACGGTAGGCCCGGCACTGAATGGAACAGCTGCACAACAAACGGTCGCTCAATAGGCAGGTCGTGCAAATCATAATTGAGGGGTCACAAAGACTCTTGCCTGCCATTGCCAGCAAGTGTGCAACACAATTTCCGCCAAGTTTCCCAACAAATAGTTGCAACAAAAACTTTGCCGGCTGGTGTTTTGTATAGGGAGCAAGGGTGACTGCTGGTTGGGTGCATTCATATCATTTTCGTTGACCCTCCCTTCCCTGCGCAAACACAAACCCGACCGGGCCCCCCCGCTGAATTAAGAGATGCATGCTGGGGAAGTCTAAGCCTCCAACACCATCGCCGGACTCATGTCACAGGCAAGTTGTCAAACCCGAAGGACAGGCAAGCCAAGGTTTGGAAGGTCTCTGTCAGTTGCTGCTATGTCTGGCGGATGGCAGCATGGAGGCTCCAATGACAACGCACACCAGCCAGCCTCTGCAAATGCTGAGGTTTTGCGTAGAAGGAGGCTTTTGATCTTTGGCCTGCTGCCAAAGCCGCGTTCCACCGCCCCTGCGAGTTTTCAGTGTACTCACCTTGCTGACGACCCAGTGTCCACCCTGTACCCTTCTGACTCACTAACGTGGATGTGGATGGCATAGTCCCTCAGGACACTATTCCCTAGGGCTCCAACCAAATCCTCAGAAGGTGGTTAGACCCCCCTAAACCCACCATAACCATCTTCTCAGGAGGTAGTTCCAATCAGTTCCATGTGCCATCCACGTCACCATGTGACGTTGTTCGTCACCGCTGGGCCTTCACCCGGCACCACCCGGCACCATCGGGCGCCAGCGGTGCGCCAGCGGCGAACGGAAACACAGGGACGCCAGCGAGATGAGGACATCCCTTCAAAAAGACGTCCCCACAAAAATGAGGACATCCCTTCAATCACCTCTTCGATGAGCTTTTGAAGCTCAATCTGCTCCTTTTCATCCAGCTTCTCCTGCCATTTGCACGGCAAATAGAAGTGGTGCTGATCCTTTTCGTTCTCCGAAAGGAGGGCTTTTCGGAATTCTCACGACGAACGTATTATTTTTCTCGCAGCTTTCCTTAAGGTGGTTTCGTCTATTTAAATTGGAACCTTTACATCAAATCAAATCTATCCGTTTTTGATATATCCTAGTCTATGTATCCCCTGCAATACGACGGTGACACTGATGGTGACCCTTAGTTTTTGAGAAACACATGATATACATCAGCTCGGATGAGCCAGGGCTCCTCGATTTTTTCGGCCACCCATCAATGAACTCTACATGACTCGTCTGAACCTTATGAATGGCCTCCCCGGAAAGTTCTGCCTGGGCCAAAACAAAGAATCCAGTGTGATCCAGGAGCCCTTCTCAACCAAACTAGGCATCGACGGTACTTAGCCAGCTGGGTCAACGCCACCCCACCGTCGTGGTTTTTTGCGCACGTCGTGGTCGAAACGCACCTCACTCTCGAGTTCCTGAAGCCTCTGGAAGCAGAATTGCAAGGCCTAGAGGAGACACAAGGGCGGTTGTCTTAAGAGCGGACGTGACCCTGGTAGAGACCAGCGATCTGAAGCAAGAATGCTGCTGCAACCAAAGTCAGAACGAAACACCTTTGGCAATATAGATTAGTCGCTCTTGCAGTCGGGCATGGCTGGATCGCATCCGGCCGAATCATCATCACCCATCATCTCAGGAGTGAACATAACACCTGACCTACAATCGACACAATCCACATACCGTAGTCAATTCACCCATGTCGGAGAGAAAAAACAATGCATTGCGCATGGGCAGGAAATTCAAAATAATCAAAAACGCCTGGGAGACAAAAGCCTTTGCCAACATTCAAGGGAAGTGATAAATAGAGGTTCAAGCTCTTTGATGACCGACATTTCAATCAGTTCTCAACCCCCTGCAGACTTTGCTGCAAAGGCAAGTCAAAGCAAGGATCTACTCTCCTGCGTGCAAAGGTTCATGCTTCCACAGGAAAGAAGAATTCAGCGCAGTAGCGGCGCTATAGCAGTCTCTATCATATGATCTGTGGGATGAGCTAGGACCTTTAGGAGGCCCCTCCATACACAATCCTGCCTGGGAGGGAGAAGTAGCTGCTCTTCAGACCAAAGTCTCTAGTCAGCGATGGCCTCCAACCTAGTTGTCGTCCGGCCGTCAGCATGCATTGGTTATGTTGCATCCTGCTGCCGACTGTGACAGGGCCTCGATCGTGTACTTCTCCGCCTCCCTGTACGTCATTTTGACTCCGTTCACGTCCGCTTCAAGGTCGCAGCAGCCGTGGTCGGGGATGCACTTCAGCGACGCTTCTGCACCAGCACAAGCGGCAATCTTGTTGGCATACAGGTCGGTAGCGACGTCAATGGAGCAGCTGTTCATGGCATCCTCATTGCAGCCGCCGCAGCCTTGCAAGGCAACGCCAAGCATGGCAAACATAAAGAACAGTCCCTTGATTGCGGTGACCTTCATGTTGAGAACTGCCTGGCTGGAGTTATCAGGAGCACAAAGAGGGAAGGCAAGCCACAAGTGCTGCGTTCGAGCCCAAATGCCGCCAAAATGAAATTCCATTGTTGGAAGTTGTTACAATCCCCCCCCCCCCAAAAAAAAAAAATATATATATATACTCAACAAATTATATCAACAAACACAAACGACGTAAGGAAACACGTCAATGCAAGTGAAAACTCTGATAATTAGCGCTTTCAAACTCACAAAGCTAGACGACTATAGGTCAAGCTAGCAGGGATTTCATGCTCCGGGTTTGGACCCCTGACTCCTTCAGTTCCCCGGGTTTGGACCCCTGACTCCTTCAGTTCCCTGGAAAATAGAGGTTACCTGGGGGTTGTTCAATATTCTTTTCACTTTCCCAGGCCTTTCGCAGGAACTTCGCGAAGTTTTCGCAAGTTTTCTCGCGTGGGTGTTTTTCCATGGTTTTCCCACTGTCGGCGAACATGGTTTTTCGTTGGAACTAAAGACTCTCAAGGAACCAAGCTGTTGCTGAGGAACTCCGGTTCATCCCTTCTCTTTTCTTTTCTCTCTTCTTGCCCCTCTTCTGGCCCAATTGCTTTTCCCAGGCCACAATCAAAACTGTTTTTTCCAGGAGCGGGACACAGTAATCGGAAGCTTGTGGGCGAGCTCCTTTTTGAGGCCCGGGAAAAAAACAGTTGGAACTCTGCGGACCACTTGCTTCTTCCAGGGATGGGTAAGGGCCAAAGTGAGCTCAAGAGCTGGGGTCTAATGGATACCAGGCCTACGAGCAAAAAAAAGTGGGCTTGAGCCCCCTTTCCTCTTGCTTTTGCCCGGGGTGGGAAAAAGCAATCGGAAGTTAGTGCGCCAATTGCATCTGCAGCTGGTGGGTGGGTTTTTCCTGAGCTGCCACGAAGGTGGTGATCCCAAGAAGCAGGGGGCCTGAGCTGCTTGCACGCTTCAGCAAGCATAAGTAGAGTGGTGGGGTTTTGCAACGTCGTCTTTCGCGTCCGCAGTGCAGACCTTTCGCCATTCTTGTGCAATTCCCCACCACAAAGGTATACTCCAGGACTGTGAAAAAGCAATCCGAAGTCTGTGGCCTAATTGTTTTTTCCAACCTTGGGAAAACGCAATCGGAAGTCTGTGGCCCAATGGCCTTTTTGTCCTTTTCCAAGGTCGGGAAAAAGCAATCGGAAGTCTGTGGCCCAATTGCTTTTTCCAGGCTCGGGAAAAAGCAATCGGAAGTCTGTGGCCCAAGTGCCTTTTCCGGGGTCGGGAAAAAGCAATCGGAAGTCTGTGGCCAATTGCTGTTTCCAGCCTTTTCCAGCCTCGGGAAAAGTAATTTGGAAGTCTGTGGAATTGCTTTTGCAGGGTGCCCTAGGTCACCAACTTGGCTTCCGCAAACCTTTCAGGACTGCAGTGGCAGCACAGTCAAAATCAGTCTTGAAGATTTGTTTACTAAAAGATGTGGTTTTTTGAAATACCACCCATCACTTCAGGAGTGAACATAACTCCTACAATCAACACAATCCACATACCGTTATCAATTCACCCATGTCAGAGAGATAAAACCATGCATTCCACATGGGCAGGAAGTTCAAGATCATAAAACGCGCCTGGGAGGCAAAAACCTTTGCCAACATTCAAGGGAAGTGATAAATATAAGTTCAAGCTCTTTGATGACCGACATTTCAATCAGTTCTCAACCACCTGCAGACTTTGCTGCAAAGGCAAGTCAAAGCAAGGATCTACTCTCCTGCGTGCAAAGGTTCCTGCTTCCACAGGAAAGAAGAATTCAGCGCAGTAGCGGCGCTATAAGTCTTTCTCATATGATCTGTGGGATGAGC